TTATCGAATAAACATGGGACTAAGCCGTGCAGTTACCATCGAGTGAGTGTACATGATTTTTACAAGTTTCAAAACAGTTTTACTCCACTTTTGCAAGGTCCAAAACTGTGTATTTTGGACGACTTTACTTGTGAATGGGTACGTCAAAAGGCGAGAAACGGCAGCCAGCCGCTGGCTGCCGCTATGGGAAGTGGATATCTGACATCAATGTGTCTGCCTTGTAATGACACTCTCAAGGTCGGGCACAAGCAAGGATATCTGAGCAGCGCTGCACGGCTACACATATTCACCCTCTTGTAAGTGCCAGGATGGGAATTTGAGAGCGTCGACAAATGGACAAGCACGACGAAGGCAGAGGCATTGGGAGACAAGATGCTCACCGGCTGCAGAATCGCAGCATCCGAGTTGCCCCCGCTCCGGTGATTTCTGGAATCCTCCTCATTAGATCCAGGTGGACCCGCCAGAATGGGCGAGGTTGATCTCAGCGGTACCAACACGTGCTCTTCGTTCCACTCTTGCCGTGCGCCAGCAGTCTGTGCCCTAGATTCTCAAATGCCCCTTTGTCAGCCATCATGTCCGAAAGCTTACTCGCTTTGATTCAAACAGCTTGCATCACATCAAAGGATTAGGCGGCACGTTCTTCTCAAGGGAGTAGCCTTCAGCGCAACAGCGCTATGGTTCTATCCAGGTTGACACAATTATAGGGGATCGATTCGTCAATCTTGAATGTCTGTTTGTGACGCCGTGGAGCTGGTGAACGCTGCTCGGATGGCTACGTAGCTCCATGTAGAGCGTGGATTCGATTAAATTCGACACTCTCTTTAGAAACGCCTTCTTGGAAACAAGTGAGGCACAACAGGCTTGTTATTGACGCCGTATACATAGATCATATTTACATTTTTACGCATAGAAAGGCGCAAAATACGTAAATACTTCCTCCCTTTAATTGTCGTCTGTGGTTTTGTGACATTGCTTCCCCATTTCGCTTACATCAGTTTTCAACAAAACTTGCCCCAAAGTTGTGTTTGTGAGTTTGGAGTATACTGTTTAATTTTCAAATCAACCCGTTAAGTATTGAGGATTTTGAAGTACTTTGTAACAAGGGACCTCTGTTCACAAGAGGGTCGTTTTCGGACGTTGTTCCAAAATCAACCGTTTTTTTGTGTTGCGAGCAGCACGCTTTCGCGGCAGCGAAACAAAACCGTCTTTGCGAAACTATTCACGTCATTCAGAATGGAGGTCACTAGGGTGCTTGCAAAGAGGTACGGTGGTAGAAAACGCGTTTCGAATGCCTTGACACTAGGAAAAAAAGGGCCAAATAACAAGTGTTCAAATGTGTACAAAGTTTACGGGTTTGTGTTATTTTGTGTTATTAATGTGCAGAACGTTGATGAAATGTGTTTTATGTGTGTTCGAAAAAGTGTTATTTGGCCATTTTTTCCCTAGTGTGATTGTCTAACTCGCCGTGGCTTGCAACATCAATTCAGGCTTGATCTGGTGGATCGGGGCGACGTTACGGACACAATTTTTTTGGCCAAAGTTTTTCGAGCTCCTTCGTTGCCATCAAGCCAGCTGATGGAGGTGTCCCAATCCTTGTAACAAGGAGCCAGAGATGGTGATGGCTGTCACCCCGATATAGTGAATTGGGCATTGCCATGGGAATGGCGATTTGTCCTTGTCTCGGAACTTCCAAGTGTTGGTGCGAGGAGGATGGCCACAAAGGTGAATTCGGGTCTTACTGAGGTATGGAGACTTGCTGCGTTCCAATGGTTTGTGCGCAACACAGAAGGATCGGCCACTGTATCCACGAACAATGGTTATTTGTAGACTTGCGGCTTAGGGGCACATGCAAGCCCTAATTCAAGCACCAACTGAGGCGAAATGTCCGAGCAAGGCTACCGAACAGCCTTGGACCGACAGCATGCACTAACCCCAGGCTTCATGGTTTTAGACGTTGGCCTTTGTGCTCATTGAATGTCCGCCCATTGGAGATCGAGACAGGCGGCGATTTTGGGCATTGTCAACATTACGACGACGGTTGCCTAAGGCGGGGATAAAGGCACGTTCGAGTGTGTTCGGCAAGTGCTATGCCACGTGTTGAACCCCATCTTTTGCCACAGTGGCGGCGACCACTGGCGTTGCAACTCCCATGCAGGGGAGCGGCCCCAAACTAGAGGGGTCTGCAAGACCCCTCGGCAGAAATCGAACGCACATTTTTGGACAGTGTCAAGGCAATTTTGGGGGGCAGCTCACAGGGGTGAGGATTGAGTGTGCTTTTTTTGGAATTCCAGAGTAAGGGTTTTCAGGCCCAAGTTTCCTATTCTGGTCTCCATTCGAAACTTAGATGCTGTTTTATTACAAATTTTCCCTGTCAAATAGACGACAATTAATATGGGGCGGAGGAAGTACAACGTAAATACCCCGCCTGTGCACATCAAAACAGTACAAATAGACTTACATAGTCAAGGGATTGGGAGCCAGGCACAACAGTGTGGGCTGAAAACGAAGTTTTGTTTGACGACGTGGTTTGCCCTTGCCGAGTGCGAGGTGAATGCTATGTCGCGTATGCCCCAGGGGGCGAAGAACTGTTCATTGCACACGACTTCATCGCGTAACCTGCGTGTCCCAGCGAGCCGCAAAAAGCAAGTACAGCCGCAAAAATATATCGTTTTTCAAATTTGTATTGTTGCTGGTAAAACACAAACGTACATTACAAGCTTGTGGTTGACACTGGCAGAAAATGGCATGTCTGCGATGCCAACTGCGATGCCATTTTGACACAAAGTGATGCCGCCACAGCAATTGCGATGGCATAAAAGCGGTTGTGATGGCATCAATCTGTGTCAAATGGCATCACAATTAGCATCGCAAACAGGCTGTTTTCTACTGGTATGACGGCAGTACTGGATGGAAGGATCATGCATCATGGTCAAAGATATTCAGATTGGAGTGGCAGGCCAGGCCACTCGCTCCGATCACACAAGACAAGCAAACAGCAGAATGACAAATTTCTTCCGCCTTGACTGCTCAACTACTGGGCATCACAGCCACGACTAGCGCGGGATCAAGATGGCAATGTTCCCATGCACGTGGCAAGTTTGCGAGGGATAGCGACCCCCCGTTCCCCACAGCTGATTCGACTTCACCGCAGTGCAATGCACAACAAACGAAAGCACCACCGCCCTTGCTTTGGATTTTATACTGCTATCACCATCAGAAAACACCAGTTTTGCGGCGCTAGCTGAAATGCCATTTCGATGCACAATGGCGCCATCACATTGATGTTGATGGCACAAAAGTAGGTGTGAAGGCATCAATTGCGGTCAAATGGCGTCGCAGTTGGCAACGCACAAATGCCATTTTCTACTGGTGCACAGCGGATTAAAGACCGACTTAAAAAATCAATCGCGCGCTGGTTCGAGTGGTTTGGCACCTGCTGTCTGGATCTTGTTGTTGGCCTTGAACTGCCCAGTGGGCACCGATGGTGCCCTTGCTGCGGTCGCTGGCTTGGGTGCCTGTGCTCAAATCGCCGGATTTCAGCGTGCCGCCCTTCAAATCCTTCAGGTCCATAAATGAAGCCTTCTGCCCTAGGGTTGCACATAGGCAGCAGGAGGGAGTATCAATAACATGAAAGCGCTGCGCTACCTGGAAGATGTAATGCCTACAATGTGATTTGACACGCTTCATGTAAACGCACAGTGCAAAGCATAGCGATGCCGGTGATGGTCAGATCGCAGATGGGCTTGGGTCTGCAATGGAACTGCCTTCCTCCTTTCCAGGACAACAATCATGGTTTTCCCGCAGGGGTGCTTTGAAAACAGCTTCAGCAGAAGGCGGCAAAAGCAAGTGCTGTAGGAAGTACCGAGCCTTGTAGCACATGTTCCCGAAAGAGGGTTTTGGGTTCATCTGTACTGGACAGCAGCTTCCTGCATGCGTCGGCCAGAGCAAATGGCTTTCCTGAAACAGTTGCTTTTTCAATTCAGGCCTGGCCATTCGCTGTCCTAGCAGACATTAGGCCACCTTCTTCCAAACCTGGCACTTCCTTCACGTTGTGGTTCGTATGGAATCGAAGTAATGGTTTTCAGGAGCCCTTTATTCCAACCTCCGGCAGCGCAGCTCACAATCAAAGGGAATAGCTACATATCAGCGACTTAATATCAAAGCAGTAAGCGCAATTCCAAGCGCAGTGACACTGAAATAAATCGCCATCGCGGAAATTTTAGCAAAGCATCGCCGCTGCATTCGTTTCTTTTCATTTGGCAATGATCCAATTTTGCGGCTTGTTGAGTACCCGGCTGGTGTACAGTGGCACATCTCACGGCATTGTGCTTCCCATCTTAAGCCTTGCTGGACAGATAATTGCGCCTGGCCCCGCACATCACACCTCTACCTTGCCATGCCTAATCGCCCACCTGAGGAATTTCCGTCAATGAGCACCAGTCCTCGCACCAGAGATAATATGAGGCTCTTCTGCTTCTAAAACAGAACTGCGCAGGCTGGGTATTTCGCATCAGGGTTCCATCCACGCCCACGCTCTGCACCCAGCCAACTTGGCACAAATTGTCTGGGTGCACTGGAAACAAATTTCACAGTCTCGCACAGGTGCTGACTGCGTTCGAACAAAGGTAAAAGTAGGACCCCGTCTCAGCTGCGTTTTATGCATTTTTGGTGCGTTTTGTGTGCCTGCTTGGTAAGGTTTTCTGGACTCCTTTTGTGTTACTGCGCGTTTCTTGTTCGTTTCTGGTGCGTTTCTTTTGGTATCTTTTGAATAGGAAGAAAAAACCCTAAAAAAGTACTTTTGAGGAAAGCAAAAGTGGGAAAAAAGAAAATGGCCAGTTTGAGATACGAAAACTGAAAATGGCATTTTCATGTGTGATGTGTGCCTGGCACCAGTTAAGGCATCAGCAACTGGCTGCTGAGAGGGAAAACAATGACCCAGAAAAAGAAAAACTATAACCAGAAAGAACCTTCAATATGATCAGGATCGGCTACGTCCGTGCCCGACATGTCCGAGTCGTCGTAGACCACGAACTCCAGGGGCTCCGCCTTCAGCTGGGCTTCAAACTCGTGCGTGCGCACTGAAGCGAGGCAAACATGAAGAACGAATGAATGAATGGATCCATCCAGTAGTGAATGAATGAACAAAATGCAAGAAAAGCATGGGAGAAGATAGGAGAATGGAGAATCAAAAGCTAAAGAGGGGCAGGGAAAAGCTAAAGCACGAAAACAATGCGCACACTGGGGTTTGCTGTTGGGCAGCGCACAGCTCAAGGGCACTCTGCATTCCCTGGTGGAGGCCTTGGAAACAAACTTGCATGGCATCAATGATTTCATTTCATGACGTCTCTAGTGTATTGCATGGCTCATCATTCTTATGCGACATTGTTCTTAGTAATCGCCTCACACAAAATTTTGTGCGGTAAACGCGGCAGTGGAAAACAAGCACGCCGCTCTTGGCTGCCTTAATTACTTTCGCAAGCAAAACACGTTGCATTGTATACATATATTCAATTCATGTGTTCATATATGAATATATGAATGTATTCATGTATGAATATATCAATGTATTCATATATGAATATATGAATGTATTCATATGTGAATATATGAATGCGAATGAATATATGATTGTATTCATATATATGAACATATGAATGCACACACATGCATGCATTGTGCATCACAACATAGTCACATTGGACTCGCATTTCTTTTTTTGGCAAACGACATTGGGACCAGATTCGTACCGATTTCAAACGTCGCCTCATCGTCAAACTCTGGATTGGCGCTCTGTCCAAACCTGGTGTCGTACGTGTCGTCCTGCCCCGGCAGCCTGTAACTTACGTAAGGCCGCGGCACTTGCCTGGGATCCGCCTGAGGCAGACCCTCACACTTGTGCACAACCACCCGCAGGTGGGTCGTGGGCCAAGCGCGTGAGCCTGAAGCCTACAATCAAATCACAACTAATGTCAGAAAAATGGTACAACGCAATAACACAAATTATTATTTCTTGTTCCATTTTTTAATTAAATGGTTCTGCGGGATTAGCTGTGACACGCGCCTTCAGCGGCAATGTCACAACCAAATGATGGACGGAATAGAGGGCCGACGGATGGTACTAAGCTATTAAAAAAATGACAAAATGCATGGTTCAGAAATCGTGTACCGTATAATACGATTGAAGATCGCGTAAAATCGTGTACTCATCGTGTATTTATCGTACAAAACGGTACCAAACCCTGCAATGATTGAGTGAGTGTACATTATTTTTACACGTCTTAGCAAGGTTTACACGGTTTTTACATGGTTCGAAATCGTGTATTTTGGACGATTTTTCAACAGACGCGATTGCAGCAGGCGTGAATGTGGTCACATATGCTGAAGCGCAAAATGACGAGCAAGCCTGCAAAACCAGCTGCAAGAAAGCGGGTGTATGTGCACACCCAGGCCAAGAAATGGAGCGTCGTGCTGTATACAACCGCAACCAGGAGAATTTCTATAGCATCGACATTCCTAATGATATTCCGCGCGAGAACGGCAGCGGGATGAGTGGGACGCGTAGATGGACTAACTGAAGTAACGTGAGAGTAACTTCGTTGTAATACCTGGCATGAAGACTCACTGCGGTGACTTTAAGTCAATAATGCTACGTCGTGTACATTGTAAATCGATTGAAAATCGCGCAAAATCTTTTCAAATTGTGTACTTATCGTGCATTTATCGTATAAAGACGTGGCCAAACCGCTTAACAACGATTGAGTGAGTTATGGCATGGCGGCTGCTGTGGACCTGTCCGGCCGTGGCGTCTCGCTAGCAAATGCTGCTCACGAGGCGCCAAGCGGCATGCTCTGTACGCATGCGCATAGCGATTCAATCATTTCTGCGCCAGCTTATGCTTTCTTTTCTACGCTTTCTGTAGAGTGCCAAGCACTAAGGTATGGCAAGCATGAGGTTGGAGAATGGGTGTTGGAATTTATAATGGGGCTCTTCAATGTGCCAAATCGGCTGACTACCAGGCGTGACGGCTGCAGCCAGCAAATGCGCATGTGACCCAAGACCTGACGTTGTCAATGAGCGTGTCTGTAAGCTGCACTGCCATTGTGGTAAAAGCAACGTCAATAACTTGTGAAACCACTCTTTGGGAGCCGTGTCAGGAGACAATCTGTCAACAAACTCCTTCACTTACATTGCTCTGTGCTCCTTTGCGCGCAGTTCATTGTTATAGTCTACAAAACTTACAGTTTTTCGTTTATTGGATTCAATGAATGGGCAGCACACTGAAGCATTAGGAATGCAGGCACCAGGGAATTTGCTTGATGTATTCGATGCAGGCACCACGGAAATTCCTTGGTGCATTTAAACGCATGTTGCAGGGCGCGGTCATTATTCCACCTGCGGACCATCAGCGGCGCTTCTGTCAGGATGCAGCGTCTCCTTTCGCCCCTGCTCGCTGCGGTATTCCTGAATTGCAGCGATTATTGGGTTCCTCAGCCTGTGGCCAATCCTCAGCCTTCCAACAAATTGATTCGCGGCGCCGATCAGGTCCACTTGATGGAGAGCCCATCGATCGCCGACACCTTCGAATGCACAGAGCACGACCCAGGTCGGCAAGCACGCAAAGTGGCCGGCGATGATTGGATATCAATCGCTGCTGGGTCCGCGTGTCAGAGCTGGCGCTGCGCGCAGCTCTTCGAGGTGCTGGAAGTCCGAACAGCATGCAACTTGCACAAGCAAAACATTGGCCAAAGTACACGGCATCAAACCACGTAGAAATCGAGCAAAACCGTGTCAAAACGTGCAAAAATCGTGTACTTTCCTCCAAAGGAGGTACCACTTGGCCGAGCATCAATTGAAGGAGGGATCTTTTCGAGCCCCCGGGTACCCGCAGCTGGCGGTGTCGCTTTTTGGCTGCCGGGCTCTTCGGCCCTTCCACCAACGAATTTTCCAGCGCTTTGTTGAGGGTCGGTGGCGTAACGCCAGAACGGTTCTTCTGCATAGCAGCTGCGAAGCAGGGACCGACAGGGACTGCCGTATTTGGATTTGGGTATATGCCACCCGATACACATTCGATATGCCCAGTATCCAAATTTGTTTGCCAAGGACCATTACCAGCAAGTAAAAGGCAGATTCAGGTATTTAGCATGGAGTGGTGACTCCTGCAGGGCGAAATGCTAGGTGGCTTGGCATCCAGGCTCTGTTGTAACCATCTGTGGACCCAAATTCTGTTCCTAGAGTGTGTTTGGACTGCCATCTGGCCATGGCACAAGCATCTTCACATGGTTGCTCAGGACTGCGCAACGCCCTGGCCGAGAGGCTCCTTGGCTGAGCTGCTGACAGTCGCAACAAGGGAAAGAAATATCTTCCTTCACTTTCCGCTCAGCATCATTGCAGATGTGATTGCTGCAACTTTAAAAATGCCCCACTCTGGCTGAGGATCAATCCGTCACACCTGCGCCCATCTCCGCTTGCTCGAGGACGCGCTTCAACCGGAACCTTCCGCACGCAATTGTGCCATAGTCCAACCCGTGGGCCTGGTTGAGCTCGAAGACCAGCTGAGCTGTGTCCAAGTACTTAACGAAGAAGGCATCTGCTCGGACAACGTATGGAATCAGCATATCGAAGCATGGATTTGTGCCGACCCTTATCTGGGTGGCCTGTGTGTCGTGTTCGAAAAAATCGACACTGACGAATGTGGACGCGTCGTTGTCGATCTGCGACTCCTGCGATGTGGGCATTGACCACCAGATCATCAGAGAAGTCCATAGCCCATTGGTAGCTGTTATGGTGACATTCACATTTTTGACACTTGGATAATTTTGCTGCAATTGTCGGAAAATGACAAGGCAGGCCACTGCCCTTGCACCTTGAAGTCGATGTCAGCCCGACATTGTTGCATTCAACTGCATGCAGGTACTATTATCAGATATCAGTGTTTGTGTCAACCCAGCCCAAGCGCTGGCATTCCCATGTAAGGATCTGTGGGCTGGTGTCTGTTTCGTCTGCAACACACCACCTGCGGATTCGCCATTCAGCATTAACCATGTCAAGTCCTTCTATTGGGTAGCTTGGAGCGTGTGCAGCTAACAGTGAACAGAAAAGACGACTGCGGAATGCACATCCTGACCAAAAACATGGTTTACAGGCACTTTATCCTGTCCTGTGGGGACCTTGTCAGCTCCTGAAAGCGTGCACATCCGAGTTGAACGGGGAATCGCAGTGGCAAAGATGGCAGCGGGCAGAAGTGGCGAAGATTGTTCATCAGTTTCCTTCAGCCAGCAGCCGACCAGCTTATCTCATTCAGCCGGCCGCCAGCATCATGTTGAGAAAGGCAGTGAATGAAGGCACCCGCTTCAGTGCACTGCAAGAAGGGCGAAGGTGCATGTCACCTCCATGCTGGCATCGGATATCTTGAGTTCAAAGATATTTTCGCCATCTTCCAGGCCACACACGGGTGGTTCCAAGCCCAAACCAGCCGTTCCCACAGTCAAAGATCGAACAAGAGCCTTCCCAAGGCCTCCCATGGCGTCCTTCAGCTGCTGCTCAAGTTTTTGGTTCTTTTCCTCGCGCCTCTTCAATTCCAGATTCAGCCGCTGCACCTCCTGGCTCATTTCCTTCTTCGATGTCTCGAGGGCCTGCTCTGCCGCCTCCATGGCGGCGCGGGCCTCCAGAGACATCTCGCATTCCCGCTCGAGCAGCTTGCGTATCTGCCAGCCGGCATTTGTTTTGAATTATGAGTAACCGTATGTACGTTACTAACATTCTTGCTCGGCTATTTTCGGCGACTGTGACATTCTGTCATACTTCGGTGCAGCACTCTTCAGTTGTGCATACACAAGAAAGTGCCAACCAACATGAAGGCCCTCTCAAGATACTGGACGCTCTCTTGGACAAAAATTCTTATCCAGAATCCACTTGTGAATCCACTTTAGATGTATTGTATCTCTCCCTCTCCAATGAATTGTATCTCTCCCGACTGCTGCTGGCAGGCACTGCTTGCCAGCGGCCGGCCATGATGCATTGGCCGAATGGAGTGCGACGCAGCTGCTCCACCACGTGACGGGTGCAGCCAGGAACGCTCAACACAGCATGACTCATGCCCCAGTTCGCCTCCGTCACTGGGGCGCTGCTCCCCAACCTCACAAATGCCCGATACGCTTCATTCCCGGACATAAAGTCGTAAAGGTGATGACAGTATGAAGGTATGCAGTCACGAATGTCGTGTAGTCATGAGGCTTATAGCCATGAGTCATGAAGTCATAAAGGCCATTTTCGGGTTCAAGGTTTGAGATGTTAGGTTTTTGGGTACCTACTGCCCTTCACGTCCCCATCATGACCTTCGCAAAAAGTAAAGATAGGCATCGGACAATCCTCCCACTCTTCCACACCGTACACACCGCGGATGGGACATCACTTGAAAGTCGAAAATTTGGTCTGATGCGATCCCAATTTAGCGCAAAGCTCTCTCTCCTTACTTTTTCCACTTCCTCTTTGTCTCGATTGCACACTTCCCGCAGCTGCGTGAGCTCTCGTTTGAGCTCCTCAACGCTCTTCCCATCATCGGGAGAGGTGGACTGCGGCGACTGGCGCGCATCACCGCCGGGGGGCCCCTTTGTCAGCTGGTACACCTCCAGCTTTTCCTGGCAGGCCTGCAGCTCCACCTCCAGCTCCGCGGCGCGCTGCTTCGTGGCCCTCAGCTCGCGCTCGATGCTGTGGTAGTGCTCGACGGA